ACTGTCTGTGTGTCTGTATAATTGTCTATTATAATTAAGGTCTTAATTACACCCATATATTTATTAATCTGCATTTGAATTACTTGCAATTAATTTCGTATAATCCAGTTATCTTTTAATGTTTACTGAAGTGCCTGCACGTTTTGGTCACTAATCTATGGCGGCAACGTGGCCAATTATTATGTTGGAGAGAGGGAGAGGGAACGAGCGAGAGAGGGAGGGGATTGAGAGGGAGCGAGGGAGAGAGGGATAGAGGGAGAGGAGGGAGATGTGACTGAGAAAGTACCTCCTGAACCCCCCCCCCTCCAAGGTACGTGTATTTACTAATTATGTCTGCATAACCGAGCTATTAGTTCTTGGAGCCAGCCTTTCTAACCAATCTATTGTTCCTCTATTATGTCTACTACATATATTTCTCTCTAACACACACACACACATAAATCCCCAGGAAGCATCCCTTAGCAGCTGTCTAACTCTCAGGTACCTATGTACTGCTAGGTAAACAGAACCACCAGGTAAAAGAAATTCTGCCCATTTCTGCTTCGGCCGGGAATCGAACCCGGGGTCTAAGGACCACGACTCCCAATTGCTGTCCACTAGGCCTGTACGCTCGTAAGGCTTCGAACGCGGTTCCCGGAATTATACTCTGTACTCTGGTTTCATTCATGAGTTTGACACTGCTGTTATAATTGGTATTGCTATTATTATGTGTATAATTATATATAATTGGAAGAATGCATTTTATATAATTATATCATAATTTTAGTTCATGAAATATTTGTGTTCTGTTAAATAATATATTTGTTTTAAGATAATAAACTTTTTCATTCAATGTGAGTTTTATGGGTAAAAAGAATTCTTGCTTTGGGAGGGAATTTTTGTTGGGATTAAATTTTTCATCGGCTAGAAAATTTTTTTATCTTTATATGCGCAGGCTGTTTTGATGTGTTTTTTATATAAATTTTACATTCTAGAGATCTTTCATATGATAGATTTTTTCCAAACAAAATAATTTGGGGGATAGTATATTTTCTTTCCATTTAAAGACTTTTTAGAAATATTTTTTCCACTCACTCTTTCTTTCTCACTGTGTGTGTGTGTGCGTGCGTGTGCGCGCGTGTGTGTGTGTGTGTGTGTGTGTGTGTGTGTGTGTGTGTGTACTCACCTAATTGTACTCACCTAATTGTGCTTGCGGTGGTTAAGCTCTGGCTCTTTGGTCCCGCCTCTCAACCGTCAATCAACTGGTGTACAGATTCCTGAGCCTATTGGGCTCTATCATATCAACATTTGAAGCTGTGTATGGAGTCAGCCTCCACCACATCACTTCCTAATGCATTCCATTTACTAACTACTCTGACACTGAAAAAGTTCTTTCTAACGTCTCTGTGGCTAATTTGGGTACTCAGCTTCCACCTGTGTCCCCTTGTTCGCGTCCCACCAGTGTTGAATAGTTCATCCTTGTTTACCAGGTCGATTCCCCTGAGGATTTTGTAGGTTGTGATCATGTCCCCTCTTACTCTTCTGTCTTCCAGTGTCGTAAGGTGCATTTCCCGCAGCCTTTCTTCATAACTCATGCCTCTTAGTTCTGGGACTAGTCTAGTAGCATACCTTTGGACTTTTTCCAGCTTCGTCTTGTGCTTGAAAAGGTACGGGCTCCATGCTGGGGCCGCATACTCCAGGATTGGTCTTACATATGTGGTGTACAAGATTCTTAATGATTCCTTACACAGGTTCCTGAACGCCGTTCTGATGTTAGCCAGCCTCGCATATGCCGCAGACGTTATTCTCTTTATGTGGGCTTCAGGAGACAGGTTTGGTGTGATATCAACTCCTAGATCTTTCTCTCTGTCTGTTTCATTAAGTACTTCATCTCCTATTCTGTATCCTGTGCCTGGCCTCCTGTTTCCACTGCCTAGTTTTATTACTTTGCATTTACTCGGGTTGAACTTCAACAGCCATTTGTTGGACCATTCACTCAGTCTATCCAGATCATCTTGTAGCCTCCTACTATCATCCTCTGTTTCAATCCTCCTCATAATTTTTGCATCGTCGGCAAACATTGAGAGGAACGAATCTAAACCCTCTGGGAGATCATTTACATATACCAGAAACAGTATAGGTCCAAGGACTGACCCCTGCGGGACTCCACTTGTGACGTCTCGCCAATCTGAGACCTCACCCCTCACACAGACTCGTTGTCTCCTGTTGCTTAGGTACTCCTCTATCCACCGGAGTACCTTCCCTCTCACTCCAGCCTGCATCTCCAACTTTCGCACTAGCCTCTTGTGTGGCACTGTATCAAAGGCTTTCTGACGTGTGTGTGTGTGTGTGTGCGTGTGTGTGTGTGTGTGTGTGTGTGTGTGTGTGTGTGTGTGTGTGTGTGTGTGTGTTGAGTACTGATCTTGTTGAATTTACAGAGTTCCGAATACAGGGTTGAGCAATGGCTCCCAAACTCCACCTTTCCATCTATTGTTTCTTCTAATTTATCTATGCAATCTCTTTTTTCAGATCGTTCCATTTATTTGTCTCTCCTTTTCCAATGATAGTATCATAGACTATCTTTTAAACTTTGTTATCATGTTCGTCCATGATGACATGATCCGCCCAACCTCCATCCAGGAGCGCTAAGGAGAGAAAGCACTAAGCCTACATACTACAGGGAAGGGAAGTGGGGACAGGATAGGTCGTGGGATATGAGGACAGTAGGGAGGAATAGTGCCAACCGCTTGGACCGTCGAGGATCGAACACCGGCCTGCATGAAGCCAGGTCGTCGTTCTACCAGCCAGTCCATGTGGATGGACCACTAAGTGAGTTTGAGCTCACTTTTCTTCTCACTCATTTTTTAAAGCAATTAACAAATCTACTCGATTAGTTATAAATTTTCACAATTGTTGTTTTATGTTGTAATCACCTAGTTGGGGGGGTTAGGCATTGGCTCTTTGGTCCCGCCTCTCAACCGTCAATCTATGATGTGTGAATTTTACTACAACCGATGTGTGAATTCACATGATCCTATTTACTATCTGGTCTTTTGTATATATCGGGAATAAAATGGGTTTCACTTTAGGTTTCCTGCGCCACAAAAAGATATCCTCTGACCTATCCAAGCAATCTGTAAATAATGCCAGCCCTGTTTTCCAGCTCGTACAGGTTATTTTTTTCACGTGTGACTTTGTGTAACGCTTTTGGTCAAGGTAAACACAGTCGGTGAACCCTTCTCTCATTTGTATTATCATTGTCATTTCATCTTAAAATTCGAATAGATTCGTAAAGCATGATTTTTCCCTACCCGAATCCATGGCGTGTGTGTGTGTGTGTGTGTGTGTGTGTGTGTGTGTGTGTGTGTGTGTGTGTGTGTGTGTGTGTGTGTGTGTGTAATTACCTAAGTGTAGTTACAGGATGAGAGCTACGCTCGTGGTGTCCCGTCTATCTTGAGGTTATCTTGAGATGATTTCGGGTCTTTTTTTAGTGTCCCCGCGGCCCGGTCCTCGACCAGGCCTCCACCCCCAGGAAGCAGCCCGTGACAGCTGACTAACTCCCATGTACCTATTTACTGCTAGGTAACTTTACCCAGTAACTAGGTAACTGGGTAACTTACTGGGTAACTACCCAGTTACCCAGTAACTAAAGGTAACTTTACCTTTGTCTACCCAGCACTCTTTGTCATACAACGCTTTGAAACTACTAATTTGTGTGTGTGTGTGTGTACTCATCTTGTTGTGTTTGCGGGAGTTGAGCTCTGGGTGTTTGGTAGAGCCAGAGCTCTGTGTGTGTGTGTGTGTGTGTGTGTGTGTACTCGTTTAGATGTTCCCGCCTTCGTATATTGACTAGAAATACTAATTAGACGCACGTGCCTAGAAGCGATTGAAGGATCGTACCCTAGCTCCCAAGCCCTGCCTCTCAAACATTACAACGACTCGCCTCTCTCGTATTTCTGATCATATTTTTGGTAAACATTGTGCTCGGTTGACATACACCACTACTATATCTAACCTATTTAAATTTATAACTCATACTAAAGTTTTTTTTCCTGACTCCTGTCTAATTTGTCTTCTTTGTCTCGTTTACCAATTCTCCTTTAAAATTGTGTGTGGCATTAACATGTTCTCCTTATTCCTTTTCTCTTCCAGCCGTGGCGATGTCCGTGTCTTGGGCGTGATGATGATTGCAGAGCATAAAATAACAAGTGAAACGTCCTGAACAACTGAAGGTAAGTGAATAAAGTGAACTATTTAGTTGCTTCAGAGTGGTTGTGTGACTGGGAAGAAACACTGTATCTTGTGTGTTCGAGGTGTTGTGTACGGGGCCCACACCCTGGGTGTAGGGGAGAAGGCGTGTTTGGCCAGGAGAATGTCAATGTGGCATATATGAGAGACAACTCTAGCGAGGAGCTGGTGGCTCTAGGTGAAGAGGCACGTAAAAGCACAGGTGATTAAGGTCACTTGAGGATCAGCGATTTGTTATAGTCATGTGTGCTTCTGGTAATTACGGTTCATGTCGTTATTTGTTGCTTCTGTTTGTGATTTATCGGCACAAATGTGATTCTTCGTTATTCTAAATTTTAATATGGATATGTTGAATTGTTTTAAAATTTTCCATATTATGCAAATAATTAATATTTGCTAAGAATATTATATACATTTTTTATTACACACACGTGTTGTAGTAAGAAACCAAGAGTTCTGACACTTGCTTAACTAGCAATCGCAGAAAATAGTATATGATAAAAGAATAGAAAATGATACGAAAAGAACCCACACAAGTCCCTAGATAAACACTATAATAATACCTGGATGGAAAAATATTAAGTAGTAAGAGAAAGTATGACACGTTGACAAAAATAGTTGTTAACCTTCCCGCCAATGATCAAGATTTATAACACTCATAGTAGTACAGGAAGTAATGTATAGCTGACACAGTACCTCACGTACTCTGCGGGTCCCCTAACATCCCTAGCTAATGTTAGGGAAGGTGAGAGATGGTGTCCCTCTAGACTCACAGAGGACGGTGAGGACGACGGAGGTGGTCAGGGGGGCAGTGTGAGGGGAGGTGCTGGCGTCACAGGTAACTTTGGCGCCGTTGTCGCCAGGCGAGAGCTCGACCTCGGCCCGGGCCCTCGTCAGGTTGCCCTCCCGCTGGAGTTCCGTCAGAAGCGCTTCCGACTCCTTGTAAATCCTGTGGGAGGAAAGAGCGATACAATGTTATAAAATATTACGTGTTCACGCGGTTGTTCATGTTCCTCTTAATGTCGTCCGTGTTCCTGACCCGTCCTTGAGTTTCTAATTAAGTCAGCCGAGTTACCACAGGGTTCTGAGTTTTAAAATTAACTGAAATAGCTTCATTAAAAAATGTATATGAGCGTTTACATTTAAACAAATATCTAAACCCTTAATTAATCTATAATTGTCTTAGTTTGCAAAGATTCAACTGCGTTATTTATTAAAGAAAAATATAATTAATAATCTAGCAAGGATCACTGTGATTTACCAGAACGTATATATATTTTACAAAGTAACTCAAGGCTCATTATAACAAGATACCGATCAAGTGGTGGTCGTAATTTCCAGTTTCTGTTACCCAAAACAAAATTTGATTGGATCTAAGTTCCTGAAGTTCTTCTGTAAATTGCAAGGTTATGAAATCATAAGATGGATTTCCTTATCTGGAAATATCTATCTATCTATCTATATATATATATATATATATATATATATATATATATATATATATATATATATATATGTATATATATATGCGAACAAGCCTGAATGGTCCCCAGGACTATATGCGACTGAAAACTCACACCCCAGAAGTGACTCGAACCCATACTCCCAGGAGCAACGCAACTGGTAACTACAGGGCGCCTTAATCCGCTTGACCATCACGGCCGGACAAAAGGAAGTGATAGCCGAAGCTATTTGAACCACTTCCCCACTGGGGACCATTCAGGCTTGTTCGCATTTGTGTTCCTCACGTGTGCCCCAAAGAATGAGGTGATTTGGTGAAATGCTATGCCCAAGATTACCATCCAAGTTGCCGGCGGGGAAGTGGTTCAAATAGCTTCGGCTATCACTTCCTTTTGTCCGGCCGTGATGGTCAAGCGGATTAAGGCGCCCTGTAGTTACCAGTTGCGTTGCTCCTGGGAGTATGGGTTCGAGTCACTTCTGGGGTGTGAGTTTTCAGTCATGTATATATATATATATATATATATATATATATATATATAATATATATATATATATATATATATAATTTGAACTGCAGGTTCGTGAATACACTTAATGAGCTTTAAAGCCTGGAGACTTTCCATTAAATTCTAACGAACCAACGTCGTTTGATGGTTTCTGAAGGTTCTCCAAGATTTTCAAGATTTTTAAGTTCCACGAAGAAGCTCAATTTATTCGGACTTTCGATCAAGGTAAAGGCAAGATCACTTCTTCGTTAAGATTCAATTACCTCGAGACTTCGACGAATTCGAAGTCCTCTTAGGAATAATATTAAGTCCAGGTAACAATGCTATTTAACTCGTTCTACGTTTATGATTTCCGTTAAAGAATTCCAGGAACACGGAGCCATTTCAAGAATTTAAGGTTCTTGAAATCCTTCGAAGTATTCTTGGACTATGAGACTCCCCCTGTAAATGTTTAAAGTTCTGTGGTCCTAAATGAGTTTCTGAAATCCTTCTAGCGAGTGTCCAGTCTTTATGTACCTCGCGGAGACCTTTAAACCCTGGGTGACGAATTCCAATGTTGTTTCTGATCCCCTCCTAACGAGTTCCAGATCTCTGAATCCTCTCTTTCTCTCTTTAACTCTCTCTTTTCTGCTCTCTTTTACTCTCTTTTAGTCGTTTACTTTCTCTCATTCTCTTTTACTCTCTCTCTCTCTCTTTTACTCGTTTTCTTTCTCTCATTCTCTTTTACTCGTTTACTATCTCTCATTCTCTTTTACTCTCTCTTTCGTTCTCTTTTTTCACTCTCTCTCATACACACTCTTTCTCTCCTTCTTTTACTATCTTACCCTCACTTTTTATCTTGCTTACTCTCTCTCTCCCTCTCTCTATGTGTTTACACTTTCTCTGTTGAAAGTATTTAGTTTTCTAGTATTCTCGTCTGGGTCTGAGTTTTCTGCCTGTACAGGTTTGTAATCAAATGCATTTACTCACTCGATGCCAGAATATCTTCTCTGAAAGCGGAAAGGGTTACAAACTTCACTTCAAAATGGGAAATGTTATGTATATTACTACGAATATATAAATTTCTGTACTACGCCCGCTACTTTTTCATTTAGCACACTTCAAATTATATATATATAAAAAATCCCTTTCCTGATATAGCAAGCAGATTTGTAGTCCCTATAAAGTACATTTCAACAAATTAAATTTCATTTATTCAAAATTCATAAATATCGAGTTGAAGATTTTTTGCTATATAAGGGGATTTTATTTTTTAAATCTGAGAAACGGTAACAAGGAGTAAAAGAAGAAGAATGATTAAGCGTGTAATTGAAAAGTGGTGATAATTAGGACTAAAAAAAAATAATGAAACGTGAAAATTATTAACTTCAGAAAAAGTGCTGAAAAAAGGATAGGGATTCATTTTTGGGGTATAAAAGGTTAAAAGAGGTTGAAAGGGGCTGACGGAAGTCGAAAAGGGTTGAAAGAGATCGAAAGGTGCTGAGAAATGTCGAAAGGTGCTAAAAGAGACGGAGAAAAGCCAACTAGAAAAAATACAAGCAGTAACCCCATCAGAAAGTTTCACCATTCTCACTCACCTCACAGTCGGAGGTGGATGACCTCCCGTGGTGGTACAGGTCACCTGGAGCGTGGTGCCAGCGATGACCTCTCTCTGAAGGTCATCTTCGAATACAGGCACCCCCGGCGGCTCTATGTAGGGGGGGAAGGGGAGGGAAGGTTAGTCAACAGCGCCAGCAAAGGGTTAAAGGTTATCGAGAATAGCGTAAGGTCACAGCTGACGAAAGCGTGGGGGAATAGACATTTTTTTACATGATTTTATTTTTTGCTTGTGTCGAGATGTTCAAAACAGTCAGCTTTAAGGGAAAATGTATTAGTGTCTTTGTATCATGCAACAATGTTAAATATATATATATATATATATATATATTTATATATATATATGTGTGTATATCACGAAAATAAACACGTGATTAAGAATGTGACAATGTCAGACCACGGAGGAAAAATGAAACAGGAATTTCCTTAAGTACTTTCGTATATTAAATACATCTTCAGAAGGTACCTTCTGAAGATGTATTTAATATACGAAAGTACTTAAGGAAATTCCTGTTTCATTTTTCCTCCGTGTTCTGACATTGTCATATATATATATATATATATATATATATATATATATATATATATATATATATATTATATATATATATATATATATATATATATATATATATATATATATATATAATATAATATAAAATTACGTGACTGGGATATGGTAATTCTGGAATAAAATAAAACTGGAATACGTAATTATTTGACGTAATACTGGTGTCAAATAATTATGTCTAATAGTGTGATATCATGGGGAGTGTAACGGAGTATTACGTCAAGGGACAATGGGGAAAAAAGTTATGAACAAAAAAAAAACAATAAAAATCTATAATTATAGCGAGTCGTGTCTCATAAATGCAAAAAAAAAAAAAAAAAAAAAACTGAAATAAAAAAGGCTGCACAACGATATCAAAATTACGCAGGTCATAAATCAGATATCACAAAACATAATATATATTACGTCTTACTTAAATGTTATCAATGAACACAAAATTCTGGCACACAATGTAATTAACATAATATCAGGTTATGGAAATGATCATCTTAAAAAATTTCGAGGAAAAAATATACACATATATACACATACAAGAAGGTACATTGGGTTGTGAAAGTATATATTTTGGGAATTTTATGGTACATTCTTGAAAAGCCTCTAACACACAGTCAGCCAGACATTAAACCAGGCAGCCGGGGAAGGGTTTGAAATGACCAGAGATAAGGTTATGAGACATCTTTTGGATTTGGACGTGAGAAAGGCTCTTGGTCCAGACGGAATCTCGCCATGGGTACTGAAAAAGTGTACAGAAGCACTTTCCTTGTCACTCTGCATGGTAAATCACTGGAGACGGGAGACCTACCAGAAATGTGGAAGACAGCTAATGTAGTACTAATATACAAACTGGGCGACAGACAAGAGGCACTGAACTACAGGCCAGTGTCCCTAACTTGTATACCGTGCAAGGTGATGGAGAAGATCGTGAGAAAAAACTAGTAGCACATCTGGAGACAAGGGATTTTGTAACACACCACCAACAAGGGTTTAGGAAGGGCAGATCTTGTCTCACAGGTTTTATAGAATTCCACGATCAGGTGACAAAGATTAAGCAAGAAAGAGAAAGGTAGGCAGACTGCATTTTCTTGGCCTGTCGGATAGCCTTTGACACAGTACTCCATTAGAGGCTGGTGAATGTAGTGGGACAAACAGGCAGTTGAATTAAATTGAACTATAAAAGGAAATCGCCAAGCCATTACGACTATATAGCACCTATAAGGGGTGAGGATAAGGATTTGGGATGGGACAGGGGGAAGGAATGGTGCACAACCACTTGGACGGTCGGAGATTGAACGCCGACCTGCATGAAACGAGTCCGTCGCTTAACCGTTCAGCCCAATTGGACAAACAGGGAAGAGTAAGTGGGTGGATAAGGGAGTACCTAAGCAATAGGAAGCAGAGAGTTACTGTGAGGAGTGAGACCTTAAACTGGCATGAAGTCACCAGTGGAGTCCCACAGGGCTCTGAACTCGGACTTATCCTGTTTCTGATATACGTAAATGATCTTCCAGAGGATATAGACTCATTTCTCTCAAGTCAATGTTTGCTGATGATGTCAAAGTTATGAGAAGGATTAAGACAGAGGAGAACAGCTTGAGGCTTCATGAAGACCTGGACAAACTGAAGGAATGGTCGAACAAATGGTTGTTAGAGTTTAACCCGAACAAATGTAAAGTAATGAAGATAGGTGTAGGGATCAAGAGACCAAATACAAGGTATCATTTAGGAGATGAAATTCTTCAAGAATCAGAAGGAGAAAAAGACCTAAGGGGGGGGGGGGGTTGATGTCACGTGACGCGTGTGACACAGGGAACACGTGAGATGTGTCCCCTGAAGCCCATATCAAGAGGATATTATCAGCGGCATATGCCAGGTTGTCCAACATAAGAACAGCCTTCAGAAACTTGGATAAGGAATCACTCAGAACATTGTATACTACGTATGTCAGACCAATCCTGAAGTATGCAGCTCCAGCATGGAGTCCATATCTCGTCAAGCACATGAGTAAATTGGAGAAGGTTCAGAGGTTTGCGACCAAACTAATACCCGAGCTGAGGGGTATGACCTACGAAGAAAGACTACGGGACCTAAACCTCACGTCGCTGGAAGACAGAAGAGTTAGAGGAGATATGATCACAAAATACAGATTCTCAGAGGAATTGATAGGGTATATAAAGACAGTTTATTTAACTAAAGGGGCACACACATGTAGAAATTAGGTACCCAAATGAGTCACAGGGACATTAGAAAGAACATTTTCAGTGACAGAGTTGTTAACAAATGGAATGCACTAGGAAGTGATGTGGTTGAGACAGACTCCATACACAGTTTCGTGTAGATATGGTTCCTAAGCCCAGTAGGCTTAGGAACCTATACACCAGTTGATTGACAGTTGAGAAGCGCGACCAAATAGCCGAGACTGAATTCCAGCAAGCACAATTAGGCAAGTACAGTGTCTCGGGACATTGACTACACCCCAAAAACAACACAATACAGTCTCCCGAAAATGTGTGTCAGCGGTTGCAAGTAAGTGCACGTGTTTCACTCGGGCTTAAGCTTGATCTTCCAGAGTGTCTGTGCAACGCGAGTGGAGAATTCCTTTGCAGAGTTCTGTATCAGCAATGTTCACTTACTGATTGGCTCTGAGCTACTGTAATGACTATCTCAATCCGCTGAACCGAGTTTATTTACCCACTATACTTGCCCTTGAGTCCCCAGAGGCCCTTGAACCCCTAACAAGACTACCTACTGCTCTGAGTGAATCTTCACAACAATTCAGACTTGCACTTTGGTAACTTAATGCATAGTGTGCTGATTGGCTCAGCCCTCTACTCTGACTCTACTGAATCTACTCAATGTTGCTCATATCTACCGACTGTTGCTGATAACAAATAAAATAAGATAAATGGATAGAGAGATAAGGTGAAAATAAAAAACAACTGAAAAACGTATGAATTACGAAACAAAGAATACAGCTTTACAAAAGATTACTGAAAAGACCTAAGAGGAAAACAATAATAATAAAGTTATATAAACTAGCAGACGCGCATTGGTATGAAAAATAGCTGGGTAAATTCTTGTCAAATTATGAAACTAAAACTGGTATAAGGATTAGGATATACACCATCGAGAAGTGTATACATCTTTCTCGTTCTAAATACACTGAGAGTTTCCTTTAGACCTGTTCAGGACTAAAGTATACTTTCAGGTTGGGCAATAAGTTATTATAATGGTTTTAATAACTCCTCCCATGATTGATAATCCTATAAG